CCCTGTCCTGGCTCACAAAGATATTTTCCTGTTTCTTCTTTCCCTTTTAACTCTTCAATTCAGCGGAGGCTACTTTTATGTAAGGCTTTATGTGGGGGTCTTGTCTAGTGAGTGAGTTTTCTGTATACCATCCAAAAGCAACTTGTGATGCTACCTTTATTGCGTGTGGAATTCTTACACACGCATGCACAAGCACACACACACGTGCACACAGGTCTGAGAGCTCCTGAAGTAGTTGTACTTACACAGCTTTTCCACGGACATTATTCTCATCAGAGGATATACTATTGAGAATATGTACTCCCTGGTACAGTTTTCACTTAATGGCTCACAAAAAGTGGCCTTTTGTGTATTTCTTCATCAAAACAAAATCTAGCAAATACCATTAGCTAGGACATGTTCTTTTTTTTCCTTTCTTTTAAATCTGTGCTCTCATCCAGTTACATAGAAACCCTCCCACAGAATTCTTTTAATTCCAGTTTGTTCAGATCTTCAGTGTTTTCGGTGCCTTTTCCAACGGCAAGGCTGACAAAGTGATGGATTTTACCTTCTGCATTTTTCTTTATATTATTTTCCCCATGTTTTATTGTATCAGGAAGAATGAGCTTTTCCCCAATGGCATGTGTCTCTTTTGCCTTTCGCTAAGAATCTCAAGAGAGGCTTTTATATGTTTATAATTACATTCTGTGCAATTTTATAAAGTGCTAGACTGAGTACGGTATGATTTTACACAGTGCTGAAAAAAAAATTGTGCGGTTTGGTCTTCATGTCTGGAGGTTTGGTTTTTCAAGGTCTTGTTAATCGTGGCAGCTTTGGCTCTCATTAGCTAATCACACTGGCCTCATATCAGGTAGGCCGAGAAACGGGTACGCTTTGCTGACCCACTGGCTACCCCTCCTTCCTTCCATTAGCATCTTGATCTGATTTGGAAAAATCAGCACAGGGAGTGCAGCACAGGGACACCAGCCCGTCTCCCCTAGAGGCGGGCACACAGCCCAGGCCCAGCCAATCAGCCTATTCCATCTTCCTGGCCCTGATTGGCTCACGGAAGGGCACATGCCTGAGGCCAGGCCAATGAGAGTCAGTTCTGGGATATTGTTGGAATATTAGGAAGGAGAAGCTTCCCTTCCATTGAAGACACACACCTGGACCAGTAGGGAAGACAGTCTTCCTAAAACCACACTGGGCCTGATGGCGCAGCTTGAATTCCCCCTTCAGCCTTTCCTATCCGTCGTGATATAAGCCAAAAAATGCCTCCCCCTCCCCTTTTGTTTATAGCTATTTGGGTTTTTTTATGGTCATTGTCAAGCTAAAGAAAATCTGAGGACCCACCACTCCCTATTCTTTATCTTTAAGGCTGTTTCTTAATTATAAAGGTCTGTGGTGAAGACACAGGGCCGAGGGACTGTGTCCTCTGAGGTTTTGTGGTGTGTGTTATGTCACCCATGGGTTTCCGTCTGGCCTGAATGGAAAGGCCCTTTGAATTCTCTACTCGGTCAGCTGGAGCCGATGGCATTAACAGGGATGTCACCAGCTTCACGCCCCCACCCCTCCCAGAGTACTTTAAATACATTAACAATTGTCAAAATTGGATCGAATACTTGAAATTTACCACGGGAGTGGACCTTAACTGTTCTCACCTCCTGCCCCAAAGAAAATGGTAATTATGTGAGGTGACGGGTACCTTAACTAGCTGGATTGTGGTTATCCATGTATCGATTCCATGCATATCCAGCTGTATCCACGTATCCAAGTACATCCAGCTGTACACCTTAAATGTACACAATTTCTATTTGTCAGTTATACCTCAATAAAGCTGATAAGATACAAAAGGTTGTGCTGAGAGTACCTGCCCCTTATTTCTCATCTTTGCAGATGTTCTGGGGGAAGGGAGGATGTGCCGACTCAGCAAAGTCCTGTGCAGCTAACTGCCCGGAGAATTTTGTGTTAGAAAACAGTGACTCTGACATTACAAGGGAGGCAAGCACCCTTGTGCTCCCTACATGACTTGACGGGAGCGCAGAGATTCTGGTTTGTAGCCTTACAATCAGAGGCTGTGTCATCTGGACAGAAACTTGACGCCCGTGTGCACTGGCATGGCGAAAGTCTTTAGGAAAAGTCTGTAAGTTTCTTTAAAAATTAACATCGACTTTACCCTGCAACCAAGCAATTCCATCCCTGTGTTTTTACTCATGAGAAATGAAAACGTGTTTACACAAAAATATATACACAAATGTTCTCCAAAGCTTTCTTCGTGATCGTCTCCAAATAGAAACAACCCAAATGTCCATCCACAGGAGAAAGAGTTTTCTCTTTCTCTTTCTTTTTCTTTTTCCCTCCCTCCCTCCCTCCCTCCCTCCCTTCCTTCCTTTCTCTTCCTTCCTTCTTTCCTAGAAGTCATATATTCAGGGGTGCCTAGGTGGCTCAGTCAGCTAAGCATTGGACTTCAGCTTAGGTCACAATCTCATGGCTCATGAATTCAAGCCCTGCATCAGGCTCTGTGCTGTCAGCTCAGAGCCTGGAGCCTGCTTCAGATTCTGTCTCAGTATCTCTCTTCTCTTCCCCCACTCTCTCTCTCAAACATAAACATTAAAATTTTTTTTAAAAAAGGAATGATACATTCAGACAATGGAATAGCAATCAGCAATGAAAATGAATGGACTACTGAACATCTGATTCAGAAATGGGATAAACCAAAAAGACATTTTCCCAAAAAGACACAGACATGGCCAACTGGTGTATGAAAAGATGCTCACTATTCCTAATTACCCGGGAAACGTGAATCAGAACCACAATGAGGGGCACCTGGGTGGCTCAGTTGGTTAAGGGTCCAACTTTGGCTCAGGTCATGATCTTGCAGTTTGTGGGTTCAAGGCCTGTGTTGGGCTCTGTGCTGACAGCTCGGAGCCTGAAGCCTACTTTGGATTCTGTGTTTCCCTCTCTCTCTGCCCCCCCTCCACTCACGCTCTGTCTCTCTGTCTCAAAAATAAATAAACATAAAAAATAATAAACCACAATGAGCTATCCCCTCGCACCTGATAGAATGGCCACCATCAGAAGAACAAAAGGTAAGAAGTGTTGGGAAGCATGTGGAGAGAAGGGAACTGAGTACCCTACTGGTGAGAATGTAAACCGGTGCAGCCGTTATAGGAAACAGAATGGCCATTCCTCAAGAAACAGAAATACCCTATGACCCAGCATTCCACTTCGGGGTCTATACCCAAAGAAGACGAAAACAGGATCTTGAAAAGATGTCGGCATTACCACGTTCACTGCAGGGTGCTTCATAAAAGCCCAGACGCAGAAACAGCCTAAGTGTCCTCCAAAGGGTGGGCGGATAAAGAAGATGTGGTATGCGTGTTATATACAAGGGACTATTATTCAGCCACGAGAAAGAAGGAAATCCTGCCATTTGCAAGAGCAAGGATGAACCATGAGGACATTATGCTAAGTGGAATAAATCAGACGGAGAAAGACCAAATACTGTATGATGTCATACACATGGAATCTCAAAAAGCCAAGGTCACAGAAACACAGACTCAAAAGATGACTACCAGGAGGCTGTGGGAAAGGGGGAGACATCGGTCAAGATTACAAACTTAGAGCTCTAAGATGGGTAAGTTCTGGGCATCCAATGTATAGCATGGTGATTTTAGTTCATGACACTGTATTATATTCTTGAAAATTGCTGAGTGTAAATCTTAACTGTCCTCGCCAGGAAAAAGAAGGGGTGGTTATGTGATTGGACCCAGTTGTTACCTGATGCTCTGGTCAGTGTTACTTAGTTTGCAATATGTAAGTGTTATCAAATCAACACAGGTGCATCTTAAACTTACACAATGTTATATGTCAGTTGCATCTCAAGCTGGGGGACAAAGGAGTGAGCTACTGGTAAACACAACACAGATGAATCTCAGAAACATTCTGCTGAGTGAAAGAGTCCAGACGCCAAGAGCACGCAGTGTATGACTTCCATTTGAGGGATTCCTAGACCAGTAAGCTGAGGTAGGGTCTAAACATCAGGACACAGGGTTTCTAGCGGAACCTGGGGCCCTGGACGGGGCCAGAAACGCTGGCTTCTCCCTTCCCTCCCTCCCCCTGCCCAGACCACTAGCATGGGAGCCTGGAAGCACAGCCCAAGAAGCCAGACATGGAAATTGTAAATGCCACAGGGTCAGTGATGCGCGGAGAGGCAAACCCAAGCCTGCCTTGTTCCTAAACTCAGGTTGCCAGATTTAGTTCACAAACCACGGCGTGTGTAATTGAATTTGAATTTCAGATGAACCACACTTTTTTTTTTTTTTTGATTAGTATGTCTCATGCGATATTTGGCACAAACTCATCCTACAAAATCCTTCGTTATCTGAAATTCAAATTTAGCTGTGCGCCCCGAATTGTACCTGAATTTTCTCGGTTACACAAGACAGAAATCGGACGCAGACAGAGTCAGGCAAAAGAACAGCTTGTTAGCTGATAGTATCCAACCTTGGAAAGGACAGGCCTCCGGGCCTGGAGCAGGAATCCACGCTCGGGTGGTCCCTGGTCCGTCCCTCTCAGTGAGGGCCTGTGCTCGGTCACGGTCACGGTCACACTCACGGGCTCTGCTCCCTGACCCCACCCCTGCCGGGCACCACAGGGGAGCCACCAGGCCTAGGTCACAGCCGGGGCAGCCGCACACTCTGGGCCTCAAACAGGGCCTCCGCCGCAGGTGCTGGGAGGGGAGGGGTGGCGAGGTCCGAACCTGGGTGAAGAGGTGTGGCTCTTTCCAGAGCAGAAGGGTTCTGGGCAGGAATCAGTAAACTGTTGCCCGATCCACACCAGCCTCTCTGAACCGAGTTCATGTGTGAGTTCTCATGCGTTTTGCTAAAATTACCCCCTGGGACCTTGCAAGAGCTTAGACCCTGGGATATGATGACGTCATCAGGACAGGTGCGCTGGGGGAGGGGGACCCTGACGTCAGCCTTCCCCGGATGCATTTCCAACCCGCGGGCTTCTTTCAACCCCTGACCCCGTCTCCTTCCCCCGACGCATCTGACCTTCCTTCCCACTCCCTTCTGTTCACAAACTGTGATCATCGGATCACCGGCATCCAAGCCAGGGCACTTAAGTGGTAAAAAGGATGTGGGTGGGTTCAGCTGTCCCGTGTAGAGACCTAGCAAGGAGCCTTTCACATTTTGTAAAACAAAATGCTATTATATTAATATGCCTAAACTGATTATGGTTTCTTCACACGCCTTTCTTTTTTTCACGGAAGATATTAAGGCAGACATTTTAAACCGAATCTCTGTGCGTCTCCAACATTAACGAATTATCAGACACTAATTGCTCTGGATTCCAGCATCCTCTCTAAACAGACAAAGTTTTCCATTTGCAGAATTTAAAACATACCAGAGCAATTTGTGTTCCTTAATAGCTACAAATTTGTTAGCTTGACTTGGAACCAGCCAAACCTGGGAAGCGATTATGTAAATATAGATAATGTCTCTCGGATGATGGTAATTAATGCAGATTCCAGAAAGGCATTCTCTTTATGATTAGGTCTGTGATGGGGAGCGGTTGAAAGCCTGTGGGGTGGCGCAGAGAACCCCCTCCAGCGGTTCCTCACTCCTTCTTTTTTTTTTTTTTTTTTTTTCAGTTTCCTTGGAGGGCATAAGGAAGAGCATGTCGGCCTCCCTCCTCCGAAGCCCTGACGTTGACTTTGAGCGGAGAGGCCTTAGAGCTGGCTGTGCCTCTTCCTCGGGTCTCTCTCTACAACCAGAGGGGTCAGTTCCCTTTCAAAACAGCCTACTGTGTCTGAGGTTGAGAGCCATCTAATTTGGATTAAAATCAGTGTCTTTAAAAGGTGTGCTTTACTCCTGGGTGGCTCAGGTCACCGGGCGTCTGACTCTTGATTTTGGCTCAGGTCATGATCTCACAGTCACCAGGTGGAGCCCCAGGTAGGGCTCTGTGCTGAACCCGGAGCGTGCTAAAGATCCTCTCCCTCTCTCTCTCTCTCTCTATTTTTAAAATTAAAAAAAAAAAGTTTTATTTATTCCTAAGAGAGAGAGAGAGACAGCATGAGCAGGGGAGGGGCAGAGAGAGAGGGAGATACAAAATCTGAAACAGGCTCCGGGCTCTGAGCTGTCAGCACAAAGCCCAACGCGGGGCTTGAACCCACGAACCCCCACGAACCGTGACATCATGACCTGATCTCTTAACTGACTGAGCCACCCAGGTGCCCCTCTCTTTCTCTTTTAAATTCAGAGAACAAACTGAGGGTTGATGGGGGCAGCGGGGAGAGGGGGAGATGGGTGATGGGCATTGAGGAGAGCACTTGTTGGGATGAGCTCTGGGTGTTATATGTAAGCCAATTTCACAGTAAATTATATTAAAAATAATCAAATCAAATAAAATGGGAAAAAATAAAAATAAAACAAAAAGATTCTCCCTCTCTCCTCCTCTCTCCCTCCCCTTCTCACCAGCTATAGGGCTCGCGAGGGCGCTCTCTCAAAATATACAAACTTAAAAAAAAATTGTGTTTACTCTTAATTGGGGCACGGATTGGCCTGTCTCAGGTCTCTATTTGCCATTACAGGAAAGGCCTTCCTGAACAGCTGACCCAATGCTCGCATTTTCCTTTTCAGAAATTGAGACCCAAAGAAAGGAAGTGATTCATTGGATCAGAAAAGCAGCAGATTGTGGAAGGGGACCTGGGAACCTCCTCCAAATATAAAGACTGCCCTGGTCTTTATAGTACCTACTGCCTTCAGAGCAATGACACTAACACTTGTGGGCTGTGTACTGGGCGTCCGCTACCGTGCAAGGGATTTGGAGGATAGGGTGATGGGTAAGAGGTGGCCTTGGCCTTCAAGAAGCTTTCAACCTAGTATGAGAATTAGATATGAAGTCAGCAGCAGTGTAAGGCAGAATGAAAAAAAAATAGTGATGTCTTTGAAATGTCTGGTTCTACTGATGAGGTTTTTTGGGGTGACGGTGGGGTTCGTGGGGTCCAGAGCCTTTTTTAGATTATTTTTTAATTTAATAATTTTTAAACTTCTTTATTTTTGAGAGAGAGACAGAGCATGATAAGGGGAGGAGCAGAGAGAGAGGTAGACACAGAATCTGAAGCGGCTCCAGGCTCTCAGCTGTCAGCACAGAGCCCGACGCGGGGCTCGAACCCACGAGCCGTGAGATCATAACCTGAGCCGAAGTCGGACGCTTAACGGACTGAGCCACTAGGCACCCCCCAAGTTTCCTCTGCACGTGTGCATGTGGTTAGAGCACGTAAATCCCACTCTGAGCCAATTTAAAGTATACGATTCTGTAGTATTAACCAGAGCCTCCACGCTGTGTATCACATTCCCCAGAACTTCATCTTGCATCTGACAGTTTGCACCGACGACTAACTTCTCCCCATTGCGAACCACTCTCCCCTGGGCTTCTCTGAGTTCTAAGTTTTGTGCATGAATAAGCAGGGACCCTTCTTGGCTGAGGGTCCCAGGACATCTAGCGTCCCCCTGAAGGCCACACCGGGCATTGTGACCGCCAGAATCCCCCCCCCGAGCACCCCCCCGCCCCCCAGCACTGGCTACTCCTGAAGATGCTAACCTGCTGGGCTGGACCGCCTGGGTGCAGGTGGAGGAGGGACGGCGTAGCATCCACCTTCTTTCCCTCGTTCCTCCAACACTTACTTGTGTGTGTACTTGCACGGGCTGCGTGCTGGGGCCCCGGGCGTGCGAAAACCCGACCTAGTCCCTGCCTTCACGGGGCTCCCCACCCGGAACTGTAATGCAGGCCAGAGGGAGGGTCTCGGACGTGCAGCTGGATAGGAGCTTTGCCCCATTACTGGCTTAACAGAATGTGCTGGACGGAGCTACAGGAACTAGGGAAGGTCTCTGCACCTCGTGGCTGGGTGCTGGTGATTGTGACGCTTCATTTTCACCTGTCTGCTCATCTCCCAAGAAACGGAAGACATATGTATCAGATTTGGACGTGAGAACAAGAGACGGCTCTTTCACTGGATGGCAAGAATTGAGATTTGAAGAAAATCTTTAAAAAAATTTTTTTTAAGTTTATATATTTTGAGAGAGAGGGAGAGCACACGTGGGGAGGAACAGAGAGAAAGAGAGACTCCCAAACTGACTCTGCACTGTCAGCACAGAGGCCAGTGTGGGGCTCGAACTCATGCACCATGAGATCATGACCTGAGCCGAAATTGAGAGTCAGCACCTTAACCGACTTGAGCCACCCAGGCGCCCTAAGATTTGAAAAAAATCTTAATATGTTGAAAGGATGGCTGGGGAAAACTAGAGTCAATCAGCTGTGTGTGGGATCAGGGTTTTACCCTCTTCTCCCCAATCCCACAAATACAGAACAAAGGAGACCTAGCTTAAGAGAAAATCATATGAAGGATCCTGGGAGGTTCAGTTACTTCCCGACCAGCAAAGTAAATGCAAACCATTGGCTATATTAACTAAGGTATTGCGTCCAGATGCGAGGAGGGGACAGTCCTGCTGGGGAGGCAGTTATTCTTGACTTGTGAATCATACTGCCCCCCCTCCCGCCCCCACACTCTGTTGGCATGTTGATGACACCACTGCAGTGTCGGGGCATTGAGAGACCCTGGGATCCAGCCCGGTGGAAGGTGAGTGGTCTTGCTACTCAGCTGTCCTCTTGAATCGTGGCTCCACCACTGTTCAGCTGAGCGACACTGGTCAAGGCAGATCAGCAATCTGAGCCTTGGTTCCTCGGCCTGTGAGGTGGGGATAAATGTGTGCGGAGTAAGCGGTGCTCTAGAGTATCAGGGAGCCTCCAATTACCCCGAGGTCCTTTCTGTACCATTTCTAAGACTGGGTGTGATTTCAGTTCTTCTTTCCTTTTCACCTAGATTTGATGAATGCTTCGAACGTTCCGTAGGCTGCAAGTGAGGGTCTTGTTACCGATCCCAATTAGCTATTACAAAAGCCCCATAAATCTTGGTGCATATGTTATAGGGAATTGAAAGCTGGCATTGTATGGCTATTGCACTAAAGAACACAGCAATCATTCTCAAGTCCCCGTGTAGGTTTTGGTCGGCTTCGCAGTGTGTGAATCTATCAATAATTGGCCCGTTATTGATTTCCTAACCCTGAAGAACACAGCTAATGGCTCCCGTTTTTCCGGCCAGCGTGAAATGAAGAGAGGCCAGAGGATGCTGACGGCTGGCTATTTGCCTTATTATTTGGGGGCATGTTAATCCAAAGCTCGAATGACCCACAGAATCTGGGTGTCTCTGGCTCCTGAGAATCGATTTCTAGCCTCTTCTCTCAGAGTGTAATTAAACAAACCACAGCCCAGAGTGTGTGCTGGCAGCCCCGTCTTCCTCATTAGCAAGCTGAACGGCTTCCCCTGTGAGCACCATGCACCTGTCCCGGCTCTGTGCGCCCGGGAGCCGGTGGCTTCGTGACAATGGGGTCTGCAATGTATAGCCCACGTTCCGTGTTCTATAGAAGACCGACTCCTTTCAAATCCCGAGTCGATAACCCTCGATCCACAGCATCAGGCTGAGGAGTACGTGATGGTTCCTTTTGTGGGTCCACTGGGCTGGCTGTGGGGTGCCCGCACACCCCAGATGTGGGGGATCGTCAGCTCTGGGTGTGTCTGCGAGGGTGTTTCTGGGTGGGCTCCGCGTCTGACTCGGCAGACATGGCGGCCTGCCCTCCCCAGTGTGGGTGGGCATCAGCTCCTGCCTCCGGTGGGGGGGTTTACAGCACGGGTACCCCTCGTTCTTGTACCTCTGGACTTGGACTGGCGCCGCCACCAGACCTCTGGCCTCCTGCGTGTGGACGGCAGCTCCTGGGGCCTCTCAGCCCCACCCCCAGCCAGGCACACCTGCTGTTGGCTGCTTTTTTCTGGGGAACTCTAACCCTACAAGCCAGGGGAGCCCTGGCTCCCCTTATTGGCCTAGGCACCTGCCTGGCTGATCACTCCCAACCCACTTCAGCTCTGGCCACACATGGGAGGGGTGGGGGAGGGGCGGGTGGGCGGAGCTAAGTGTGGAGGGAGGGGAGGAGACAATGGGATTGAGAGGGTGTGTTTCTCCGCCCAGACACAGCCAGTGGCCTACGGCCAGCAAGGGTGGTGCACACCTTCCTTTGCTTCCTGTCCCTGCCTAGATGTCACTGTGGGTGGGGTCCATTCCCTTCCCAGGACCCAGGGCTTAGCCTTGCGACTTGCTCTGGCCAACGGAATATGAGTGGACACGATACACCCCACATCGGACCAGCCTTTACTGGGTCTCAGCTCTCAGGGTCTGGCTTGGTCTCCCGCACCTCAACTGCTGCCCAGAGAAGAGCATGTCCCGGAAAGCCACTGACCCTTTATGAATGAAAGGTTCAGGGGCGCCTGGCTCAGTCAGAAGAGCATGCGACTCTTGATCTTTAGGTGGTGAGTTCGAGCCCTACGTTGGGTGTAAAGATTACTAACAATAATTAAATAAACTCAAAAAAATAAAAGAATAAAAAGCCCATGAAGTCGATGGAACCCCAGCCCGTTTGCTGGGTTTCACTGACGCAGGAGTGAGAAACAAATACCCGGCGTAAGGCCCTAGCGTCTGGGGCTCTTCACTACCCGGCGTGGCTGTGGCCAGGCCTGCCTGCTGTGTAAGCGGCTGCCCCGGGCGCTGGGGGACAGGAAGCGAGAGGCGGAGGAGGGAACGAGGTGGGGATCTGCCACGAGCCTCGTCTGACATTCACGTGATGGCTTCCTGCTGAACACCCCTCCTTCGTTGTCCCAGATTTATTTCCCTCATAGGTAAATGTGCCTCAGTGACAGTCCCGGGTACTCAGGGGCCGTGGGTGTGACGGTAACGGCAGGAGTTTGTGATGAGGAGCCACCGAAACGTCCGGCCAGAGTCCGAAGGGCAAAGCCCATGCGGGGCACTGGAATCCAGTGGCATGCGAAACGCAGGCAAGCTCAGGGCACTGGACCCACACATCCGCACTGGGACGCCTTTCGGGAACAACGCGGACGTGGAAAAGCAAGCTGTGGAGTGTAGGAGTCTGAATGACGATATCTGTGTCAGGATCAAAGCCCCCAAACACTACCACCCGTTGCTACGGAGTCAGAGTACAGACAGGCGTGCAGGAAGGGGAACGCCGAGCTGACGAAGGACCTCAGGAGAGGGCCGGAAAGGGATGGAAGCTTCAGCCCAGGGTGGGTGACTCTCCACTCCTTCCAGAACGGGAAGATCCCGAGCAAGAGCAAACGGGACAGCAGGCTAAGCCAGGATAGAGCTGTGAGGGGCCCTCGGCTCCTCTTTGTCTCTGTGTTGGAAATATTTCAGATAAAGCTGCTTTAGAGAAAGAAATGTCCAGGGTGTGGTGTGTGCACAAGGGGGAACGTGGGGTGGCGGCTGGGTGGCTGAAGGTCACATGGAGCCTGAGGCAGGTTGGAGCCCCCAGGAAGCCGAGGGAGGGAGGCGACATCATGGAGGTTTGGTGGGAACGCCCTGGATTAGCACCATGGGGGGAGGGGGAGGGGACTGCCACGCAGCCTTGCCTGGTCCCCCAGAGCTGTGGGGGGCCGTGTGGCCCTCAGAGCTGCCACCACTGGGCCAAGATGCCCGGGCCCTTATACCCCAGTGTCGATGGGTCACTGAGCACGGGCCGCCCGTGAAGGGCCTGACCTTGGCTGAGGTTTACCCTGAGAGGCGACCTGACAGCACTGCCAGCAAACAGGACACGTCCCCATTCAGGGGGGTTGGGGTGGCCCCATGGGTCACCTGTCCTGTCAGGTCATTTGGGGGGAATTCATGAAGGACTCCGGAATCTGCACTTGACTCTGTCACTGCTTGTCATTCATTTGCACTCATGGTTGTTATATCTAGAATTTTAGGTAACATTTAAAAAAAAGTTTAATTTGGGAAAACTTCAGACCTACAAAAAATGTTGCAAAAACAGGACAACGAACACCCACGT